GGCGTGGTGGGCACTTGTAATCCCAGCTACTTGGGAGGCTGAGGCAGGAGAATCACTTGACCTAGGGAAGTGGATGCTGCAGTGAGCCAGGATCGAGCCACTGTATTCCAGCCTAGGCAATGGAGCAAGACTCCATCTCACACATACACACACACACACACACACACACACACACAAGAACTTACTGATTTTAACGTGTTTTCTTTTTGTGTGTGTGTGTGTGGTGGTCTCTTAAATAAATCTTTCTTTCCAACTCCAAGTTCCTGAAGCCGTTCTCCCATGTGATCTTCTACAAGCTTTATGGTTTTGCCTTCCCGTGCGATCACCAGTCCATCTGGAATTGCCTGTTGTGAATGGAGTAAAGTAGCAGACACATGTCTTCCCTCTCCTCATACGGGTTTTCTGATTGGACCCCACCACTGACTGAAATCTCCATTCTTCCCCACGGCTCTGTAGGCCCGTTGGCCAGGAAGCGCCCACATGCCAGGGGGCTGTTTCTAAACCCACGGCCACTGGTCTCTGTGTGACAACACTGCACTGTCTTCACCGACGTGAGGTCCTAATCTCAAAAGAGCAAGTCCTGCCACCGGATTCTTCTTTGAATTATTTGCCATTCTTGGCTCTTTCCCAGATACATTCGAGAATCACTTGGTCAATTCTCATACAAACAAAGCAAAACAGCCCTGCTGGGTGGTCTTCATTAGGATTTCATTGAACCTCTAGCTCAATGTGCAGAGAGTGTCAGCTCTATAGCAGTGGCCACTCAATCTATGAATATGGTATATCTCTCCTTTTGTTTTCTGTTCTTAGTGCTTTTCAAAAATGTTTTATGGGTGTGTGTGTGTGTGTGTTCGCTCATGTGTATAGAGATCTTGTGTGCATCTTTGTCAGATTTAATCCTAGTATTTGACAGTTGTTTACCTTTTTATTTTCAAGTAGTTTTTGTCTCACAGAAAAGTAACAGAATGAGTATGGGGATTTTCCATAGATGTATAACCTACCCAGCTTCCTCTAAGGTTAACGTCTTCCATAGGGACAATACAAGGATCAGAACCAGGAAATTAACGCTAGCATAAAACCATTAACTAAAGACCTTCTCAGATTCCACCACGTTTTCCAGGATGCCATATTGCCTTTATTTGCTGTTTCTGCGTAGTTACCTGCAGTCTGTAACTGTTCCTGTAGCCATTACTTTTCTTTCACGACCTTGACACTTTTGAAGAGTGAGTGTGGATGTGTTGGTGTGCAACTGTGGTCCTGGCGACTCAGGAGGCTGAGGCAGAGAGGTTGAGGCTACAGCGAGCCAAGATCGAGCCACTGCACTCCAGCCTGGCTGACAGAATGAGACCCCCTTTTTTTTTTTTAAGACAGTGTCTCGCTCTGTCGCCCAGCTGGAGTGCAATGGCTCGATCTCGGCTCATTGCAACGTCCACCTCCCGGGTTCAAGTGATTCTTCTTGCCTCCACCTCCCCTGTAGCTGGATTACAGGCATGTGCCACCACACCCAGCTAATTTTTGTACTTTTAGTAGAGACAAGATTTCACCATGTTGGCCAGGCTGGTCTCAAACTCCTGACCTCAGGTGATCCGCCTGCCTCGGCCTCCCAAAGTGCTGGGGCTAAAGGTGTGAGCCACTGTGCCCGGCTCAGACTCTGTTTCTAAAAATTAAAAATAAAGCAGAAATTATGTTGTGTTTTCGACGTACATCATGTCACGGGGTGGTTCTCCGCAAACATCTCACCACTTGTGATGCTGCCCTCGATCACTTAGTGGGGCGGGGGGGGGGTTCTGTGGACATCTCACCACTTTATGATTGGTTGGCCTCGATCACTTTAGTTGGGGGGCGGGGATTCTGTCGAAACATCTCCACTTGTGATGCTGCCCGTCACTCAGTTGCGGGGCGGAGCGGGGGGGGGGTTCTGCGAACGTCTCACTGCTTTTGATGTTGTACTGAATCACTTAGTTGGGGGGTTTCCGCCGGGTTTCTCCTTTGTAAATGTACTATGTTTTCCTTTTGTGGGTGACACTTATCTTGGGAGAGATATATTGAGACAAGAGAAATTCTGCTTTTCTTCAAACCCACTGAAACATGCGTCGGCGGCTGTCAGCTGCAGCAGCTGCACTTCTTGTGTGCCTGATGGCAATCTGCTCCTTCCCTGCCCCATCCTATACCCATTGATGGGATTCTACTTTCCCTCCACTCCCTCTGGTGTGTATTTAATCCCTTATTTCTATCACTATGGACTCACTGACATTTATTTTGTGGGCTTAATCCAAGTATATGATAGTTTTTTGATGCCAGTATCATAATTAAATTTTCTTTTTGTTGCTTGTGTACAGAAGTATACTTTGTGAGTATGAGGTTATATTCAGAGCCTTCCCAAGACTGCTTATTGATGATAATCATTTGTGAGGGGTTCTTTTGGATTTTTATGTGCATCATCTGCAAATGAAGACGACTTCGTTTGCTGTCACTCTTTGGAGCTGGGCCCCTGTTCCCATCAGGGTTATTTTATTTTGTGAAGGTTGTGATTCTGACCCAAATAGGGCTACCAGATAAAACAGGGCTCCCATAAACCGGGACATCCATTTAAATTTGAATTTCTCATATATACATATTCTATATGTGTAATATAAAAATATATACATTTTACTGAGACAGGGTCTTGCTCTGTTGTCCAGGCTGGAGTGCAGTGGCATGATCATGGCTCACTGCAGCACTGACCTAGGCTCAAGCCATCTTCCCACCTCAACCTCTGGAGTAACTGGGACTACAGATGTGCACCACCACACCCAGCTAATTTTTAGTTATTTGTAGAGACAGGGGTCTCCCTACGTGGCCCAGGCTAGTCTTGAACTTCTGGGCTCAAGTGATCCTCCCACCTTGGCCTCCCAAAGTGTTGGGATTACAGATGTGCGCCATTGCACTTGGCCCTATATATATATTTTAAAAGAGAGACAGGGTCTCACCATGTTGTCCAGGCTGGCCTCAAACTCCTGGGCTCAAGCAATCCTCCCATCTCAGCCTCCCAATATGCTGGAATTAGAGGAGTGAGCCACTACACTTGGCCTAAATTTGAATTTCAGATAAACAGTGAATAATTTATTTAGTGTATGTCCCCCAAATTGCATCCTGTTTATTAGCTAAATCTTGCAACCCTAAACCCAAGCCATACCCAGTACTCTAAATACAGGTCTGTCCCTTGGCCCATCCCCTGCTGAGCAGCTGACCCTTTGCTCTGGGCCAGGCCAGGCCCAGCTGCCCGAGTCTCCAGGCCAGGCTCACCTTCCTGGTGCTGGGACCACCCTGCTGCACTGTTCTCAAGACCTCATTCTTCACTTCCTCAGTAGCTTTCAATGCCGTCAGACACTTGTTTAAAAAACACTTTGATTCCGTCTGTCTTTTCTGTTGCTGTCACTGGGAAGGCTGCATGTCCTGCCCCGCCATCTCTGCTGCAGAACCACATACTCTTCCTGGCCCACTGTTTTCCCTGCAGAGTTTTGTGGACTTTGCTTCATTTTCTTCTAACATTTAGTGTTTCCGTAAAAAGCTTTAGGAGGTGGGTGTGGTGTACAGGCGTGTGCCTGTGGTCCCAGCTACTCGGGAGGCTGAGGTGGGAGGATTGCCGGAACCGGGGAGGTGGAAGCAGCAGTGAGCAGAGATTGTGCCACTGTGCTCCGTCCTGGCTGACAGAGTGAGACCCTGTCTCAAAAAGAAAAGAAAAGCCTCAGGAGAGCCGGACTTTCCTCTCATAGGTGCTTTGCTCTTTCTCCTCCGGTGCCTGAAAAACATTTTGTTTTGAGGCTCAACTTCACTGAGTTGTGTCTGATGCCTGTTGTTCATGCCCTTTGTTTTCTGGGATTTTTTCCCCCTTTGGTTTTAAGGTTCATTTCAGGATTTCCTGGATTTTATCTTGAGTGGCTGTTCTTTGTTTCCATTGTCAGGATCTGCATTCTAGACACTCGTTTTTCTTATGACTCTATTATCTCTGTCCACTGCCACTCGGTGTCTCGCCCTCCTGACGGTGACTCTCCGTTTATTCCCCTTCACATTGATTTTCCCACATGCACTCAGCTCTCCACCCTGCCCCCTCTGGCTGCTCCGGTCCGTGCCCAGGGCCTGCAGGGCCTTCCGAGTCTCCCAGTCTCGCCTCATCCCACCATTCTGTCCATGTTCCCTGGGAGCCTGGTTGTGGGAATCATAGTACTTGGCTCCCCAGTGGGGACACCTGTGGAGACCCAGCTGAGCTGCCTGCTTGCTTCTGCACAGCTGTGGCTCCCTGCTGGGTGCCCACGTGGCCCGACAGCCTCGACCACCCCCCCCACCCCCGCCTCTGCCTGTGCCCTGGTGCAAGTCACACCCACGGGGCGCACGCTGAGCGTTCACTGTGGCGGAAGCGCCACAAGCGCCCCATTGCTAGACTCTTAGAAAGCTGCCAGTATTGTTCCACGTTACAGCAAGGGGCTCACGCCGGGGAGGCTGAGTGGTGCCGTGACTTCCCGAGACCACTAAGGGCAGGGCTGGGCCCGACGGCCTCTCCTCCGCCCCTTTCCTCCCTACGAGGCGGCTCCAGGCTCGGGCTCAGCGCTCTGTTGCAGCCGCGGTGGGGCGAGGGCGAGGCCGAGTCCGAAGAGGACGGACCTCGCTGGGGCCTGGATGCAGGAGGGGCCTTCGGCTTTCGGGGAGGGAGTCCCGCGGGGGACAGGGCCGCTTCCTCACCGTTCCTCGGGGCTCCCGAGCTGCGGGCTCGGCGGGGCTCGCAGGGTCCCCGGAGGCGTGGGGCAGGGGAGGCTCCCGCAGACGTGGGTCCTCTCCCCGTCCCGGGCTTTCGTGCGGCCTCTGCGGGCGGGAACTCCGGCTCGGCCGCGTTGGGGGCTTTGAGAGCCGTTTGGGTCCCTCTGTGGGGGCGGGGGCGGGGGCGGGGCCGGCTCCACTCCCAGCGGCGCAGCCGGCGTGGCTGGAGGCGAGAACGCGCCCGCGTGAGCCTCTCCCCACCCCAGGGGCTGCCGAGGACCGAGCGGAGGACCGAGCGGCCAGAGCGATCCAGGGCGCCTTCCGGCAGCTCCGGGCCAGGAGGGAGCTCGCCCGCCGCCGGGAGGAGCGCCGGGAGTACCTGGAGCAGATGGAGAAGCTGCAGAGGGAGGTGAGGACGGGCGGCCGCGACCCCCGGGGGCCAGGGCAGGAGGCAGGAGGAAATGGCGAAGCAGGGTGCGTGGAGGGGGGTGTGGAGCTCAGGCTGGGCTCCGACCTCAGAGGCGTGGACGGTGGCCTCGGGGCGGGCGGTGGCGCGGGGCCGGCGGTGACTTCGGGCGGGCGCCTCCCAGGCCTACCTGGCCCTGGTGCGCCGGGAGCAGGAGGCCGCGCGGCGGCAGCGCGAGCAGGAGGAGGCGGCGCAGCGGGAGCGGCGGGAGGAGCTGCAGCGTCGCCGCCGCCTGCTGGACGCCGCCTTCGACGGGGACGTGGGCGAGATCCGAGCGGTGCTGAAGGAGGTCAGCGGGGGCGAGAGAAGGGCGGGGGCGGGGGGTGGGGGTGGAGTGGGGGGAGCGGAGAGCAGTGACTGCGGCGGGCGGCGCAGGTGGAGCAGCTTCTGACCCGCGAGGGCGTGGGCCATGACGAGGCAGGCAAGGCGCGGCGGCTGCAGCGACGCGTGGCTCTGGTGGAGTGCGAGGACAGCCACGGGAACACGCCGCTGTCCGAGGCGGCCGCGGGCGGTCAGCCCCTGGCCATCCAGCTGCTGGCCGAGCTCGGCGCCAGCCCCAACAGCAAGGTGGGCGCCGTGGGCTGCGGGCCGAAGCGCGGGGCCTCCTTCCTCCAGGGACAAGGCCTGGATCTTGCTCAGGGAGCCCATCTTACAGGGCGCTTTCGGTCGGACGCCACTGTACCGCGCAGCCTTTGGGGGCCACCTGGCAGCTGTGGAGGTGCTTCTGAAGCTCGGAGCAGACCCCCGGGTGTACGCAGAGGACGGGAACACCCCTGAGCAGGTGTGGGCCCAGGAGGTGTGGGCCAGACAGGTGTGCGCCCCGGGAGGTGTGGGTACCGGGAGGTGTGGGCCAGGCAGGTGTGAGTCTGGCAGGTGCACACCCACGCAGGACAAGGCTTACCCCGCCGGCTCGGTCTCTGAAAGCTGTCAGAAGCCTGAGTGACACTGCTAGAGCTGTTTCCTAGCCCCGCCTTGCCCCATTCCCTTCCTAGAAGTCCTGACTTTAAAGCCTTGTCTGCAATAGAAGTGGCAGCGACTCCCATTTTGTGAATGCCTTTGGTGTTGGGTTTTGCGTCATTTCCTTCCATGCTTTGCCTGAGGAAGTGGTGTTACTGATGGAGAAACTGAGGCTGGTGATTCCAGGGTTGGCAGAGCTCACGGCGCTGGCGGCAGCACGGGGCCCACCCATCAGGCCCCTCGCTGTCAGCACTCCCGTTTGCCAGAGAACTTGAGCCACACAGCCCAGCCACAGAGCTCCTGCCTAGAACCTTTGGGCTGTGTTAGAAATGACAGTCTGACTGTCTGGCTGGGCGCGGTGGCTCACGCCTGTAATCCCAGCACTTTGGGAGGCTGAGGCGGGCGGATCACTTGAGCTCAGGAGCTTGAGAGCATCCTGGCCAACATGGTGAAACACCATCTCTACTGAAAATACAAAAATTAGCTGGGCATGGTGGCGCACGCCTGTAGTCCCAGCTGCTTGAGAGGCTGAGGCAGGAGAATCGTTTGAACCCGGGAGGTGAAGGTTGCAGTGAGCTGAGATTGCGCCACTGCACTCCTGCCTGGGCGACAGAGTGAGACTCAAAAAAAAAAAAAAAAAAAAGCAAGAGTCTGCCCTGGGCCAGGCTGGAGACACACTGCCTGGACTTGTCCTGGGCCCAGGAGTAGGGTGGGGTGAGGCCGACTCCACCTGTTGGAGCAGTGGCTGGAAAACCAGACCACGAACCTTGCCTGCCTTAGTTTTATTTAAATCAACTTAATTTGGATCCCAGTCCCTCTCCCATCTCAGTCATTATGTTCCCCCAACCCACCCTAACCTCACCCCACTTCCCATGCAAGTCTGGAGGTGCTGCTTGGAGCCTGGGTTCTGCCTGGGGCCCACTCCAGACACCTGGGAGATGCATCCACTGGACCACTGCCAGAGTCTTTGCCCAGCCGGGGACCCACCCCCAGACTCTCCTCCTGTAGGTGCTGCCTGGGAGCCTGTCCTGCCCCTCTCTTCTTTCTCCTTGTCTGCAAAGGGTCCTTCTTCCTGGGTTGGAGGGGAGGGGCAGGGCTGAGGCGGTGGGCTTAGGGAGGGCCTGAGGATACAGTGAGGTGTCCAGAGGTGCAAGTGGGAGTCAGGGGTGCTGGGGTGTCCAGCAGACCTGCTGCCTGGGGCATGGTGGCCCGGAGAGCTGAGAAGGGCAGCAACTGGGGGTGCTGGGGGAGCCCTTGGGTGCCAGGGGACTGTGTGTTCGCTCCATGGTGCTGGAGCGTTGGCCATCCACAGGCAAAGGGGTTAGTGTGGACCTGAACCACACACCCTGTAAAAGATTAACTCAAAGTGGATTATAGATTTAAATGTAAAGGGTAAAACTACAAAACTTTTAGAAGAACACATAGGAGAAAATCTTGGCCGGGCGCGGTGGCTCAAGCCTGTAATCCCAGCACTTTGGGGAGGCTGAGACGGGCGGATCACGAGGTCAGGAGATCAAGACCATCCTGGCTAACACGGTGAACCCATCTCTTTACTAAAAATACAAAAAATAGCCGGGGCGAGTGGGCGGGCTGCCTGTAGTCCCAGCTACTCGGGGAAGCTGAGGGCAGAGAGGGGAATGCGGGGAAGCCCGGGAGGCAGGGCTTGCAGTGAGCTTGAGATCCGGCCACTGCCACTCCAGCCTTGGTGACGAAGCGGAGGACTCCGTCTCAAAAAAAAAAAAAAAAAAAAAGGAAAAGAAGAATCTTTGGGGCCTGAGGACTTGGAGGGATTCTTGGACACGACACAAAAAGCACAACCAAAAAAAAAAAAAAAATGATAAACGGAACTTCATCAGAATGTAAAATGTTTGCTTTGTAAAAGACCTGTCAAGAAGCCACAGGCAGGAGTAAACATTTGTGAACTGCGCATCTGACAAGGGATGTGTGTCTAGAACATAGAAACAACTCACATCGCAACAGCAATAAAACACACAATCTAGGTATAAACTGAGCAAGGACCTGAAGGGAAATTTCACTGAAGAGGATGTAATGATGGCAGATGAACACCCTAGGAGGTGTTGCACACCAGCTCACACCTCCCAGGACAGCCCAGGTCAAACTAGTGCTGGGCCGAACGTGGGCAGGGATGTGGGGAAGCTGGCCCTGCTACACCTCGCTGGAGGGACGCAGCACAGTACAGCTGCTCTTGCAAATACGCGGGTGGTTTCTTAAAAAACAAACACATTTACCGTGTAGCACAGCATCAGACTCCTAGACATTTGCTCCAGTAAAAGGAAAACTAAGTCCACACAAAAATGTGTACACAAATGTTCGCAGCAGCTTTATTTACAATGGCCAAGAAGTGGAAAGGACCCAGATGTCCTCCAGCGGGTGAGTGGTTCCACAGGCTTGGTGCATTTCTGCCGCGAAACACGCTTGGCAAGAAAACGGTGTGAACGCATGATCCATGCAACAAGTAGCAACGTGAGAAGCCGGAAGGGAGCTTCACAGAGTGGGGGAGAAGGTCACAGACTGCCTGTTGCATTCGTACAACACACTCACATGACAACATTGTGAAGACAGAGGACAGATCAGAGGCCTACAGGGGTTACAAATGGGAGTGGGGGCAGGCAAAGGGGGAAGAGATAGGGCCGATTGGGCAGGAGTAGCACAAGAGACCGTTGGGGTGATGGGACAGTCCTGCATCTTGATTATGATGGTCGTTAACGCAAAACTGGACATGTGAGAAAATTGTAGTGATACACAAACGCACACACACATGAGTGGATGCGAAATCGAAATCCACTGTGAGCCCTGTGGATTGTACTATGTCAGTATCCTAGTTTGTATGTTGTACTGAAATTATATAAGACGTCATCATTGGGGGAGCTTGTTAAGGGTATATGGGAACTCCACTATTTTTGCAACTTCGTGTACATCTATATTTCAAAATAAAAATTTAGCAAAATTACCAGGCAAGCTAAAACAACAACAAAACAAAACAAAACACACACACAAGAAAAATGATCCAGAGTGAAGAGAAAAATCAATCAAAACAGACTCAAGGATGACCCAGGTGATGGAATTAGTAGACAAGAACATTAAAAGTTATTATAGCTGAGGCCGGGCATGCTGGCTCACGCCTGTCATCCCAGGACTATGGGAGGCTGAGGCAGGCAGATCACAAGGTCAGAAGTTTGAGACCAGCCTGGCCAACATGTGAAACCCTGTCTCTCTAACAAATTACAAAAATTAGCTGGGGTGTGGGTGGTACGCACCTGTAATCCCAGCGCGTCACTTAGGAGGCTGAGGAAGAAGTGCTTGAGACTTGGGAGATGGAGATTGCAGTGAACCGAGATCCACACCACGCGCTTCAGCCTGGGCGACAGGAGTGACACTCTGCCTCAAAAAAAAAAAAAAAATATATTTATTATTATATATATACACACAACACACAGCATATATAGCAGTATTTTACCACCACACACACACTGCATAATACTTTTAGAGATGAAAACTGCAGATGGTCTGAGATTGAAACGTACATTTGATACACCGGATGGGGATTAATGGAAGGATCAGATTATGACGCTGGAAAATAGTTAATCTGAAGATATAGCATTAGAATACTAGTCCAAAATGAAAGCCACAAAAGAAAAGAGAAGGTTGAAAAAAAATTGAGCAGGGCTGGCGCGGTGTCTTACGCCTGTAATCCCAGCACTTTGGAAGGCCGAGACGGGGCGGATCACGAGGTCAGGAGATCGAGACCATCCTGGGCTAACATGGTGAAACCCCATCTCCACTGAAAATAGAAAAAATTTAGCCAGGCGTGGGGGGCGCCTGTAGTCCAGCTACTTGGGAGGCTGAGGCAGGAGAATGGCGTGAACCCGGGAGCAGAGCTTGCAGTGAGACAAGATTGTGCCACTGCACTCCAGCCTGGGCAACAAGGCGACACTCTGTCTTAAAGAAAAAAAAAAAAAAGAAAAAGAAAAAAATTGAGCAAAAACATCTGTTTCCAAGATGGAGTAACAGGAACCTGATTTATCCTCTCACTTCAAACAAGAACAAATTCAAGACAGAATATAGGAAATAAAGGTTTCCAAGACATTGGACATCAGGCAACAAATCAGAAAGAGATCTCCAGGAGGCTGAAAATAAGCGAAGTGAGCCATAAGATTGTCCCAGTTTACCACCTTAAGAGAAATTTCAGGGTGTAATATAGGAAGGGGGAACCCAGACAGAGCTAGGCATATTCTGTGAATTAAGGAGACAAGAGTTCAGAATTCAAGGATACTGAGGCAGCAGGAGATCACCAGTGCTAGAGGGAAGAGAGCTGAAGAAAGAACCCTAGAGACGTGGACACGATCCCCGTTGGTCATTCATTGGATCCCCTGTGGTCATTAGTTGTAGCTAATAAGGCATATTATTAGGCAAATATAAGGAATATTTAATGGCTCCTATACGTGAGGAGACTGCTCAAGGTGACTTCTGAGAAGCGTGAAGGAAGCAGTGCCTACTCCCGTCAGCCAGAGTGAGAAATCCATGATTCACAGGGCACTGGGTGGAGTTCTCAGAAGGAGCTTGGCTCAGTGGTGAGGGAAAATTATTCCTAGAATAAACGCTGCTCTGGTCCAGCCTAGTCAATTACAAAGCAAGACCCAAAGGATGAAACACCCCAAGCAACTGAACTGTATCCCAGAATAAAATTCAAGAAGACTTATATTAAAAAAAAAAAACAGCTCCTAACAAGGCAAAATGCATAATGTGTGGCATTCAACCAGAGATTACCAGGCATGCAAAGAGGTGGAAAAATATGACCTATAATGAGAAAAGTCAACCAATCAAGAGATACCC